TTATCCAGTTTTAAGCCCTGATGACACCCTAGCTCCCGAGGAACAAGCTTCCCTTGAGGAAGCAGCCGCCCGTTACCATTCAGAGCAAGACCCACCACCCTCCAAACCTTGCCTAACCCCCCTTCATATACTTCTCCTGCCTTTTGTGCCCCGGCCCTACAGGGGCCTACTGCCCCTCCAGACATTTTTTCTCCACTTCCCTTACCTGACTTAGCCCCCTTGCGCGAGTCTCTCCAACATAGACAGGAACAACTCCAACTTTTAAAAGAATTAAGGTCTCTTGACTCTGAGCTTCGCTCATTAGCTTTAGGCACGGAGTCAACACATCCCAGCCCAAGACAGTTTAAAATGAAGCCTAAGCCACACCACTGGGCTGTTCTCGCCTTCCCGGTCACTCGCAGTCAGGCAGAGCCTTCCCAAACGGAGGACAGGGAAAATGGAGACAGGGACTTGGAGGAGGAGGAACAGGAGGAAGCGGGAGAGAAACAAAAACAAACAGAAAACGAACTAGATTCAGAGGATGAGGAGCCCACCTCTAGGCAGGAAGAAACCCAAGGTGCCTACAAAAAATTGAGCCTGCGTTTTCTTGAGAAATTAAAAAAGGCTTGTGCTCAATATGGTCCCACTGCGCCCTATACGCTGGCCTTACTAGAAAACCAAAGCGCACAATGGCTTACCCCCAATGATTGGAAATTCTTGGCCTGAGCTACCCTTAGTGCTGGAGATTTCCTATTGTGGAGTGCAGATTTCAAAGAGCACTGTCGGGAAACTGCTCAAAAAAATTTGACTAGGACCTCTTCTAGATCCTGGACTTATGCCAAGTTAGTGGGTAATGCGCCATATGACACCAACCCTAAGCAAGCGCGTCTTCCTGCTGGACTTTTGGCACAGATTCAGGCAGCTGGCTTACATGCCTGGAGACGCCTCCCTCAAAAGGGCTCGGCTACCACCTCCCTGGCAAAAATTCGACAAGGGCCCGATGAACCTTATAGTGACTTTGTTGCCCGGTTCAATCTGGCCGCGGAACGCCTACTTGGCCCTAGCGAAAGCGAAAGTGCCTTTGTTAAACACCTTGCCTTTGAAAATGCCAACCCGGTTTGTCAGGATGTTCTTTGACCACATAAGAATAAAGGAGAACTTTCTGACTTTATTAGACTTTGTGCCAGAGTAGGTACAGCCCATGCTATGGGCCTAGCCATAGGTGCTGCCTTTACTAAGGCCCTCCATAATCCTGGCTCACGGACTTGCTTTAACTGTAACCAACCTGGCCATTTTGCACGCGAATGTCCAACAGGTAAAAGAGGCCCACAGGCAGCGTCCCCTCAGACCGGCGCTCAAATCAGGGCCAAACCACTCCCCACAACTCTTTGCCCTCGTTGCGGCAAGGGTTGTCACTGGGCTAATGAATGTAGGTCCAAGACTAATGCCCTCGGACAGCCCATCTCTCCCCGCCTTCTGGAAACTCCTCTCGGGGCCAGCCCCTGGCCCCGATACCCCCCAGGACAAACCCAGGGGCGATAAGGTTTGTTCCCTCCCAAGCCCCCAACCTTTCTCAAAATCCTTCTCCACCATCTCCTCCCTCCAAAGAGCCACCCCAGGCAGTGCAGGATTGGACCTCTGTGCCACCACCGATACAATATTAGACTCAATGCAAGGGCCTCAGACAATACCCACTGGAGTTATGGGTCCCCCTCCATCTCATATGTGTGCTCTTATTCTTGGAAGAGCCTCTACTACCTTACAAGGTGTACAGGTCTTCCCTGGCATTGTTGATAATGATTTCACTGGAGAGATACAAATATTAGCCACAGCTATCAATGGGGTTGCAGCCATTCCAGCAGGAACAAGACTCGCACAATTACTACTCCGCCCCCTACACTCAGGAGGCACCTCCACCGCCCAGAGCCTGCCATGGGGAACTGCCTCCTTGGGGTCCTCTGATATATACTGGGTACAACCCATCTCTCAAGAAAGGCCCTCCCTTACCCTAATTATTGAAGGGAAAGAATTCCAAGGAGTTTTAGATACTGGGGCCGACGCCACCATTATATCCCAACAATATTGGCCCCTGGGCTGGCCCCTCACCCCATCCTTGACTGACCTGAAAGGTATAGGGCAATCAAAAAACCCCCTTGTCAGCTCTAAGGTTCTTCACTGGTCTGATAAGGAAGGCAATAAAGGAACCGTTACTCCCTTTGTCATCCCTGGTCTCCCAGTTAACTTATGGGGCCGAGATATTTTGAGTCAGATGGAAGTTATTTTAGCCAGCCCTAACTCCATAGTTACCCATCAAATGCTCCGCATGGACTTTGTTCCAGGCACAGGCCTTGGTAAACAGAGACAAGGAATAACTGAACCCATACAAGCCATACAAAAATCCAATACACAAGGGGCTTGGGTACTCGGATTTTTAGTATCGGTCCCTGACCCTCCTGTACCCCATGCAGATAAAATCATTTGGGAGACCCAAACTCCTGTATGGGTGGATCAGTGGCCCCTTACCCAAGAAAAACTTAAGGCTGCTTCCCTGTTAGTACAGGAACAGCTAGCAGCCGACCATGTAGAGCCCTCAACTTCACCATGGAATACTCCTATTTTTGTTATGAAGAAAAAATCAGGCAAATGGCGCCTTTTACAAGATTTGCGCGCCATTAATAAAGTCATGCGCCCAATGGGAGCACTACAGCCAGGTATTCCTACCCCAGTGGCTATTCCCAAAAATTATTACAAAATGGTTATTGACTTAAAAGATTGCTCTTTCACTATTCCTTTACATCCTGAGGATAGACCCTACTTTGCCTTTAGTCTCCCCCGCATTAATTTTCAGGGTCCTATGCAGAGATTTCAATGGAAGGTTCTTCCCCAAGGTATGGCCAACAGCCCTAGTCTTTGCCAGAAATATGTCGCTCAGGCAATTGACCCTGTGAGAAAACGATGGCCACAAATTTACATCTTACATTACATGGATGATTTGTTGCTTGCTGCACCTAATACCCATGATCTTAATAGTTGTTACTTGGATCTCTACAAAGCCCTCACTACCTTGGGATTGCAAATAGCTCCTGATAAGGTTCAAACACAGGACCCCTATACCTATTTAGGCCTTCAGCTTCAAGATAATCAGATCAAAACTCCTAGGATACAATTACGCATAGACCATCTCCACACCCTTAATGATTTTCAAAAACTAATGGGGGACATTCAATGGCTAAGACCATATTTGAAATTACCCACTTGTGTACTTTTACCCCTTAATGACATTTTGAGAGGTGACTCCCACCCCTCCTCCCCTCGAGAACTTACTCCCGAGGCTCGGCAGGCCTTAAACCAAGTCACAGAAGCCATTACCCAACAGTTTGTTACACAAATTTCGTATAACCTCCCCCTGGTCCTAGTCATTTTACATACTCCCCATACACCTACAGGAATATTTTGGCAGAAAGACCCGCATTTTAAAAATAAAGGCTGCCCCTTGCTCTGGGTCCATTTACCCACCACATCCTCCAAGGTTATTACTGTTTATCCTGCTCAGGTAGCTTCTGTTATTATCAAAGGTCGTTTGCTTTCTCGACAACATTTTGGCAAAGATCCTGATAAAATCTTAATCCCTTACACCAAGGACCAGACCCAATTTTTATTACAGACAGAAGATGAATGGAGTATTGCTCTATTAGGGTTTCTGGGAACAATTGATAACCACCTTCCAAGTGACCCCCTTTTACATTTTGCCCAATTACATCCCTTCATTTTTCCCAAAATTACTCAAAAGGTTCCCATTCCTCAAGCCCTTACTGTCTTTACAGACGGTTCCAGTAATGGCCGTGCGGTCTTTGTTGCCGGTGACCAGCCTATCACCTTTGAGACTGCCTATCAGTCAGCACAACTTGTGGAGCTATTTGCCATAACACAAGTTTTTATAACCTTTTTTGATGAGCCTATTAATATTTATACAGATAGTGCCTACATTGCTCATTCTGTGCCCCTGCTGGAGAGCTCACCCGCCATTAAGGCTTCTTCCAATGCGGCCTTTCTGTTTCATCAGCTTCAACAGCTAATCCAGACCAGACAACACCCATTCTTCTTAGGCCACATCAGAGCACACTCTGATCTTCCCGGCCCCCTTACACAGGGAAATGCCCAAGCTGATGCAGCAACTCGTTCTATCTTTCCAATTTTCGCTGGCTCCATTCAAAAGGCCACCGAGTTACACAGTCTTCACCATTTAAATTCCCAAAGCCTTCGATTACTTTGCAAAATTACCAGACAACAGGCGTGAGAAATAGTTAAAGCATGCCCTGCTTGCGCTGTCTCCCTTCCCATTCAACATTTAGGAGTCAACCCTTGAGGATTGCTACCTAATCAGGTTTGGCAAATGGATGTTACTCATTTTCCTGAATTTGGAAAACTCAGATATCTCCATGTTTCTATAGATACCTTCAGTGGCTTTATTTTTGCATCGCCACACACTGGAGAGGCTGCCAAGGGTGTCCTTTCTCATCTTATTTCCGCCTTTACCATCATGGGCAAACCTACACACATTAAAACAGATAATGGCCCTGCATATACTAATTCTAAATTTAAACAGTTTTGTTCTAATCTACAGATTTGCCATACTACTGGGATTCCATATAATCCCCAAGGTCAGGGCATCGTAGAACACGCCCACCTCACCCTAAAAACTTGGCTGACCTGTCTTAAAGCTTCTACCCTTGCTTTCACCACTCCTAGAGATTGCCTAAATCATGCATTATTTGCCCTTAATTTTCTTACCCTAGACAATGGCGGCCATTCGGCTGCAGATAGACACTGGCACCCCTCGTCCAACTCTGTCCGCCCACCCGTCATGTGGCGCGATCCTCTTACAAATAAATGGAAAGGCCCAGATCCTGTCCTCATCTGGGGCCGAGGCTCAGCTTGTGTTTTGGATCAAGAGCAAGTTGCCCCTAGATGGTTACCAGAACGCCTGGTAAAGCAGGTCAATGACTTAATAAAACCCAGGGATGAAGACCCTCTCCCTGAGGACACATTATCTTCTCTTGCAGATGCAACTCCTGCAATGGATGCTGATCCTGCCTGCAACATTGCTACAAATCAAGACCGCTAATGGAGGATTTGAGGACCCTGGCTTAGCTTCCCAAAAAGTTTTCGGCCTCCCCTGTGAATGCCAGGGAGGACATTGGACTACCGCTCCCACAAGCTACTCCCAGGCTGTAGATTGCACAACTAAGACGGCTTACCAGCGTGTGGAGGTCAACTCCTACACTGGAGGATATTATCAGCCTACATGGGTATGTGTTAATAAACCAAAAATCTCCCAGCCCTCTTCCAAAGAACCTAAAAATTGTTCAGCTACCTGTCACTACACTTTGGCAGTTCATAGTTCTTGCTATACGCAAGCCTCATTCTGTCTTGGCAAAGACAGAAAACAATACTTTGAGGCCATTCTTACTGCTGGCTCTGAACAAGGGGTCTTAGAGGGAGGTCACGCCGACACTGTCGTACAAGTACCCGGCCTTTTTGGCCACATCGGAACTGCCGTTCACCTCTCCGACACCTTGGCTGGATGTGAGGGCTCCACCGGTAAACCCTCCTGTTGGCCTAGCAAAGCTCCTATAGGAGTTTCTGACGGTGGAGGACCCACAGATGCTATCAAGCATCTTCAAGTAATTGAGCTTCTAATACCCACAATCCCTGAACTTACATATCACCCCTTAATGTTGCCTAAATCTCAGATTCCAGATTTAGATCCCAATACATTAGATATTTTGGGAAGTACCTTCTCCCTGCTTAACACTTCCAACCCCACCCTTGCTAAGGATTGCTGGCTTTGCATGACCACAGGAGCAATAATGCCCATGGCAATACCTGTTAACTCCACCATAAATAATCAGGATACCTGCCAATCTGGACTTCCCTTTAAAGTACAGCCTATGGATGCACCTACAGTATGCCTTCAAGGCAGGATGCTAAATAATTCTTATGATATTGACGTTGGGGTTAGTTCTTTTGGAAATTGCTCATCAGTTCTAAATTATTCCTCACCCACCCCAGCTCTTTGTCCCCCCAACGATACAGTTTTTTTGTGTGGAGGAAACTCAGCCTTCCCCAGGCTTCCAGCAAATTGGACTGGTGGCTGTGTTGTTGCCTTATTACTCCCAGATGTTACTGTTGTCTCAGGAGATGAACCTCTGCCCATTCCTAGCTTAGACACCTTAAATAAAAGACATAAACGGGCAATACAAGCCTTACCGCTCCTTGCCAGCCTTGGAATAACAGCAGCTATAGGCACAGGTACAGCTGGCTTAGGCACGGCTATACACTCTTACCGTCGCCTATCTCAACAACTTGTAGATGATGTACAAACTCTATCTGGAACCATTAAGGATTTACAGGACCAAATAGACTCCCTGGCAGAAGTGGTCCTTCAGAACAGGCGAGGCTTAGATCTGCTAACAGCCAACCAGGGAGGTATCTGCTTGGCCTTAGGGGAAAGATGCTGCTTTTATGCCAATAAATCAGGCATAGTACGCACCAAAATTAAGCAGCTTCAAGAAGATTTAGAAAAGAGACGAAGGGAGCTATTTGAAAACCCCCTCTGGACTGGGCTTAATGGAATTCTACCCTACCTTCTTCCACTATTAGGCCCCTTGCTAGGTCTACTTTTAATTGTGATCATAGGGCCCTGCATTATAAACAGGCTGATACAATTTATTAAAGAACAAATTAACACCTTAGCCTCTAAGCCTATACAGGTCCATTATCATCGCCTGGATATGGAAGACTGTGCTCCTGAGACCTTCTTTTCAGTAGAAACTCGCTAAATGCTCCATCTGGGTTTCCAAATTTTCTCTCTGCCACCCCCTCTTCTTATATAACATTCTTGACCACTCATCGCCCATTGGGCCCTCCTCCGCTGGGCCCCTCTGCTTGGGGGAGGCAGCACCCAGGGAGAGTGATCATAAAGGCTTTTCTAAACGAGGGTGCAGGTAAGACTGCAAGAGGGTGGATCCTAGGATCCCCAGACCCAAGACCTCTGTATGACATGCCCTGGTGCATGGCGGTTGGCATGCTCCTAAAAAATCTGCCTCCTCAAAAAACATGCCGAGGAGATTCTCTTGAGAACTTAGCAAGGACGCTTGCTTACAAAGCAAAAATGATCTCCACCCTGAGGAACTGGGCCTCTGTCATCCCCTCTCAATAAGCCGACATATTCTGGTCATGTTTGTATAAGAATAAGGGGGAAATGTCAGAGACAAGGCTCCCTTTGTGAGCCATTCTGTCTTGACCTTGCCCTGGAACATTTTGCGGTGTTTGTCTTCCTGGGACATCTTGCATTTCTCCGAACATCCTGTGTTCATGCAAATACCCTGCGGTGTCGCACCACCCGCCCAACTTCTCCATCTCCAGCACAAGATGGCACCATCCCTGCTTCTCTTCCGGGAGTTTACCTTGCCGCCGGCGTGAACGTGCACCCTATCAGAAGTCCTATAGCAGAACCAGCCAACCAGCCTGCACCTCGTCATACCCCTCACTCCCTCAGCACATAAATACCCCTGTGTGAACAATAAAATTTTGCAGCTTGATCAGAACTCCGGTCTTGCTGTCTCCTTCGTGTCTCTTGTCCCTTCATTCTTCCCCTTCTAGGTTCGCTACCCACGCTGATGTGTCCTGCTGGATGGGACATGTGTGTACTAATGCCTACTATGTGCTGGGACATCCAGATCATCCCCACTAGCTGATCCTGTGATTCTAGTTACTTCTGTCATTCAAGTTGCCTTATATGTACCTCTCTCATCATCATCTAACTTATCTATTAATCTCCTTTGATTTCTCAGACGTTTTTGTTATCAGCTCTGGTAGCTAAACATCAAATGCTAAACAAACATTGTTTATCTTAACCTACAAGTTTCAGTCTCAGAATCTGAGGTATTCCATTTAACTAATGAGTGAGTGATTTTACAATAACTCTTTGTACATAGGCATAAGCCAAATACATTGGAAATTTCTTGTGATTGTGGTGAACTTAAAAATTTATTCAGAACAACTCAGGAATCTCTTTCTCTCTCTCTCTTCCTATAATAATAATAAAATCCTTTGGTTTTTAAGTGTAGTCTAATATTGTTCTGGAATCTCCATCCCTGCTCAAAAGCAAGAAATACATCAGCAATAACCACTACAGCAGAAACAACAATACATTTCAAACTTTTCCATTAAAGATAAATTAGTGTCTTGCTTAAAATAATGATCTCTTTCTCTTCCCTCCTCTCACTGGTACTGGTGAATATAGTGCAAATTCTGCATACTCATGTGTATAAATGGAAAATTGAGACCTGTTGAAACTATCACAGGAATGGGGGTAGGGGAGATAAAGGAGAATGATGGAGGGGGTGAATGCAAGTATAATATGTTTGTTATATTGTAAGAACTTTTGTGGATGCCACAAGATACCCCAGTCAGCAAAAACAATAAAATAAACAAAATGAAATAAAATAAAAGATATTAACATTTAAAAAATAATGATCCCTTTTGGATAAATAGCTTCTTAGAATTTACAAGTCTTCATTTGGCAAGTTCATTTAGTAACCTCTCAGTTTTTCAAGGATTCTCTTTACCCACCTTGTTCTTTCCTTTTTATTGTGTCATCAGCATATAGAAAAAATTGTACTCAATTTCACACCATGACTGCGGCAACTTTGGGTCCCTGTGTTGACATTGTCAATGGCCAAGCTTGTTACAGTGAGGGGAATCAGGCGGGTGGGTGTTGGAGTCTGTTCCTGCTATATTCCCAGGTGATGTGTTTGGTACTGAGTAAATTCATGGCCTGAAGTTCACCACAACTGCTGTTGGGGAAAATGAACATCTCCTTTTGCTGACTAGCTCTTGCCTCAGCTTCATCAGATGTATTGACTCCTTGGATGTGGGAGTTTCATCTCCTTCTTGGTTTTGAACTGCTGCATTCCTCAGCCTGCATTTCTGCAGTCCTCATACAGTTGGAAGGAGATATTTTACCATGCTATAAGTGAGTGGTAGGAACAGAGGAGAGCAATCCTTTTAGGCCATCCATAGATGTACCTCATTCTACAATGATACTCTGTTGTTCTTGCCACATGTTGGGCCTGATGGTGGGAAACAGAGCACCAACTTGGATGCTCTTGGAGTCTCCTACAAGCTGTGTGGAACTTTTGTTGTTGTTGGGCTTCTGTGATCTTGAACTTTCTATCTGTTGCCCCTCTTGGTCCATGCTCAGAGCATTATGGCACTGAGTTCTAGAGAATCAACAACTTTACCCTGGTCTTTTTCCTTTGGATATTTTTTTCTGGAATTATTTGTTTCCTTCTTCCAGAATCCAGGGGGATTTGCAATTTTCCTTCCTCTGGGTCAGAAGCTCCATCAATTTCTCTCTTTTCTATAGAATAGAAAAGACAGACCTCCAAACATTGCTCTGATATATAAAAGCAAGGCTTTGGAATTCAGCATAGCATTTTGTCTCTAAACAAAGCCTGAAGGCTATTATGCTATGGATTCAAGAAAAAAAATTTTTTGATGTTTAAAGCTTACCAATGATTTCTTTATTGTAGGCAGCATCTGACTTCCCTCAGAAGTGAAAGGAACCATTAAATCAGAAGCCAGAGGCAACATGATTTATGGGGTTGGAAGAATCATTGGTTTTAAACATCTCGAAATAGAATCTTCTTTATAAGAGCAAGGACCATGCTTCACTTCTGAATGCCTAGTGCTTAGCTCAGCGTCTGCTGTACAGTAGCCACTCAACACATGTGTCTTGGATTAAAGGACAGTCTCCTTAGCTTTTTCTCAGATCATGCCTTATAGCATACCTTTGGATAACCCAGTTCATGTGAAATCAAGTAAAGGATGTCTATGAAGGTGCAAGCTTTTTTGCATTGATGTGGCTCCCCACATTTACTCAGTTCCACCTAACCCCTTGGCCTAGGTTGCTGTCACCTCACTCCTAACACAGCAACTCTTCAAGTGCAATTTCTGTATAAACAGCATCAGCATCACCTGAAAGCTTAAGATGCAAATTTCACACCTAACCCTAGACTTGCTGAATCAAAAACTCTGAAGTGAGGCCCAGCAATTTATGGTTTAACAAGCCTTCAGTTGATTCTGAAATTCACACAGAACACTTTCTAACATCTGTCACGCCCAGCCTCCCCCAGGGATAAGGACTGGGTTTATTAAGGCCTCCATGGAGAACACCTGATGTCCTAGACTGAACCAGATGGTCAGAGGTTTTGGTTTCCCACAGAGAATAGGTAAACACAACCCAGGAATGCCCAGGGAGTTAATATCTTCTACAAATATTTTGAGGTGAGAATGAAAGTCTCTGACAAAACTCAAGATAGGTGGTTTGATCTTCTGGTGCATGAAGTTGATATGAATTTAAGACTATTGAGTGTGAATATGTGACTCGAGGCCCATATCAGAGGTTCGTCCTCAATAAGACATTCTATAATTGAGACTGTTTGTCTGGTCACTTGTCCCAGGTGACCAGAGTCTTATTGCTTTTGCCAGTTAAGTATGCAATAAACAGAAATGTATCATTAACATCCTAAATCTGGACTTTCTAAAGACAAAAAAAAAGGACTTTGAGTAACTAAAGGTCCACTGTGGAATGTGTAGGGAAATTCACTTAGAAATCCAAGTAAGCATGGATATAAGCCATAATCAACAAATTCCCCCAATGTATAGTATGGTTTTGAAGTAAAAATTTTAGTAGTATGTTTTCACTAAAGAAATGTAAAAACCTTAGGGAACTATCTGTGCCCTGCTATTTTTCTCTTATTCTGGTTTTTAGTCATTTAATGAATTTAAGTCTCATATGTTCCAAGTCCCAAGATGTCAGCCTTTGAATAGTTCCTGGGCTGGGAACACAGCTCAAGTGTTAGAGCGCTTGTGTTACAAGTACAAAGCCCTGAGTTCAAACCCCAGTACTGCCAAAAAAAAAAAAAAAATATGTTGAATAGTTCCCTTTCCTCCTCCTGATTGCAGACATTTCAGTTCCTGGTCAGTACTGTTCAAAGTTCATGCTGAGAATAGAGAAGCTTCATCAACTGCATGTGTATAGCATTTCCTACCATAAATTTCAATTCAGCTCTAAAACTTGGGAGGTTTGGTTTTCTAATGACTGCTGACTGTCCCTCTGAGGACTTTCTTGTCTGAGGGTTTTTATCATAGCATCTTCTCCCTCTTTGTTCTGAAACCTTGCAGCTCTGTGACATTTGTCTTTCTACAGTGAATAGCTCTAATTATTCCTTTCCCATCTGATGTCATTATTAATGCAAACCTCTCAGTCTCCTGCATGGAAGTCACTTCTTGGTAATTCTTATGAGTTACTAGCAAATATCTTTCATTTTGTGTAGCTCCACAAATGCTTTTGTTTAGCTCTTCTTATGAATAATTGTATAAAATCAACAGAAAAGTAATTTCATTAGTAACAGAAGAAGTTATCTCCTGAAAACATAACTATAAAGTAGGTTAGGGCCTTTTAAGACAGAAAATACATAATATGTTTGGGTAGCCAACCAAAGAGTCAAAGTGAACTTGCCAAACCAATGTTATGAGTGTATGTAGGTAACTCTGCATACATGGTTTAATAAACCCATGTAGGACTGTGATCCTTGTAACTAAGACTATGGTAGTGGGAGATCAGACTGGCCTGGTGGAAGATGTAGAGACCTACAGAAGTTCACAGCGACTGAATTTGTGCTTGTGGAGCCCACATGGGGAAGAAGTCAAGAACAACCAAGAAGAAACCAGTTTAGGACTGAGGCCAAAATGAGGATTAAGGAGGCATGATACAAACTTTATGAAAATCCTCTGATGGTACTCTGTTTCTAAACAAAAAGTTCTCAAAACAGTAGGAAACTACTTGTGTTAA